AAAAAAAAAAAAAATCATTTCTTAATCATTTACAACAGTACCCATTACATAGCATATTCATTGAAGAAACAGTATCTCACTTCAACACTATTCTTTACAGTCATTTCATTTGTCTGTTTTCCCAGCTTTACTGAGATAGGACAAATAAAAATTGTAAATATTTAAAGTGTACATGTTTTGATGTATACATTCGGAAATGATACAATAAAGATAATATTTCCATCACTTTTTTTGTAGTGGGAACACTTATGATCTACTCTCTAATCAATTCCAAAACTTACTCATCTCACACTAAAACTTTGTACCCTTTGACAAATATCTCATTTGCCCTACCCACTGGTAATCATTATCTATGATCGGCTTCACTAAGTTCAGCTTTTTTAGATTTCACATATAAATGATATCACTTAGTATTTTGTCATTCTTTACGGCCACTTCAAAAATATGATTCTTCACACATTATTTCACTTCAACTTCATCACAAATAGAACCAAATGGGTAAGCTGAATCTAAGCAACTTTTGCCACTTCACAAGGTAGATTAGTAGAATTAAGTCACGCTTCGTTTTCTCACTTCGTCAGAACTATTTCCACTACATAATACAACCAAAAGTGTTAAGGAACATAAACCAACCTAAAATGTCAGGAAAAAAAATTAATTATGCCTGGCGTGGGGGAGCACACCAGTAATCTCAGCACTTGAGAGTCTGAGGCAGAAGGATCACTGGGAGTTCGAGGCCAGCCTGGGCTACATAGTGAGTTCAAGACAAGCCTGAACTACAAAGCGAGACAAGAAATAAAATTAAATTAATGGGGTCCGGGGAACTGGCTCAGTGGTGCACCACAAAATGATGATGATGGTCATGATGATGAGGAGGAGGATGGAATCTCCATGAAGAGGTAAGAACTGAGAATTAGACCTGCATGGATATTGGGCAGGTCATCTGCCCTCAGTGTTCAGAAGAGCTATCTAGGCCAAGGTTCAAGCTTGCTTCTTTTTTGAAAAAGGGAAGTGGGGTCCTTGATCTCCTTTGAGATTCATTTGAAATGAGAGTCTCCGCTCAACAGTTAAGCACAAAGCTCCCTTTAACTTGTCCAGGTAGAGAAGTCCTGGCCCGCTCCAACTCCTTCCTGCCTTGAGGAAGCTGAGACGGTACAGGGTGGAGAGGCGAGTCGGCCCGGGTACTAACGTCTGGCCTGGCACAGACCTCCCCCAGTCCTGGTCAACCGAATCCGGGAGGCCTGAGAACCAGCGTCCTGCCCCAATGCCTGCTCGCTACGACAAGTGCTCACCTTCCTCCAGAGGTGCCAGCTCCTTCTCGGCTGCCCAGTCCGGGTGCCCCGAGGCCATCGCCTGCGGCTCCAGACCTCCACTCACCCGCATCCCATCCGCCATTTCAAATTTCCGCGGGCGGCCGACCCGGACGGGAACGAGGTGAAGAATGCGCTTCTTATTGGACAGTCGGGCCTACGCGTTCCCGGAGCCCCGCCCTCACCCACGCCGCGGACAACGCCTAGGCGCCAACTACTGGCCTGATGGACTTTGCTCTCCAAATTCCCAGTTTGGCTTTCTTAGACCAATTTAAAGCTGAATTGAGATATAATGTGGGGGTGATTTCCGAAAAACGAACAAGCCACTCGTGGAAATAGTTCTTAGGGGAAAAGACGCTGGATTGAGAGTAAAAAAAAAACATAGTATTTAGACTTGTTTCAACCATTACTAATAATGTTACCCAGGGCAAGTCCCTTTACCCTTCACAAGCTGACTGTAGGATGAACTGTTGGCTTACATGACCCTTCACCACCAAGAATCAGTGTTCCTCTCTCAATACACACACACACACACACACACACACACACACACACACACACTTAGGGTATTTTCAAAGAATGTTAAATCATATTTAGTAAGTAAAAGTATTGTTTAAAGGAAACTTATTTAATCTTCAAAAATCATTCAATGAGACAGGTAATATTATTACACCTATTTTATTCACTCTCCTTCCTACCACTAGGTCTTCACACTGTGGTCACAAATGGGTTCAAAATTAACTGCACTCCCCTCCCCCCAAAAAAACTCCCCCAAGCCAAATTGCAACCTTGAGATATTGCCCCTCATACTTTAGCCCCAAACTGCTTGGTAGTGACTTCCTCTCCTTCTTTCTGGGATACCTCTGAGGCCTTCCCTTCCAGCTCCTCTTCATTTTCTCCTTACAGCCTTTAGTATAGACTCTACTGATCACCCACCATGGGATTCTTTCCTTCTTTGGACTCTAGGACCTTGCTATCCTGGTCCTTTTTCTCATTCTCTGACTATTCCGTCCTGCACTCATTCCTCTTCCTTTCCTTAGATATCTCAAACCCAGGTGATTCCCAAGGAGGTATCATATGCTGTGGGACTGCATAGCTCTGTAATCATAAAACCTCCTAGCCCCAACTGTGATTAAATGTGAGTTAATGGATAAAGATGCTTGTTAGTTTTGGGACATTAGATAAACTCTGTAACAGACCTAAAGTCCCAAAGTAAACTACTCAACTCCTTGTTAGCCCGGAACTGATGTTCCGGACACCACAAGCTATAGAACAGTCTGCAAATGTCTCCTGACCATCAGTACGTGGCAGTCGACCAGTAACCTTTGTCCCTTTTCTCGTAAATCTATATGTTAACTTCCCCCTCAACCCCCTATAAGAACAGCCTCAGGCTCTGAGCCAGTTGCCTCTCTAAGCTACTTTGCTTTGGGAGTGCCGTCTGGCCAGACTAATAAAGGTCTGTTTTACTCTCCAACTTGTCCGGTATGTTCCTTCCCAGGTGTTCTTCGCTGCAGTCAGCTCCTCGGAGCATTTGGCAAGGTCCTCGGTCTTACAATGCAGTCTGTGGCAATCAGTGACTATGCAATAAAAGTATCAATAAGCAAGCTAATATCATTTATAAAAAACACTAAAAGTAAAACAAAATTTAGCAATGTTGAGATAGGAAATTAGGGCATGACAAAAACTGGCTGATGAAGTAGGTATGACCTGTTAACTACAAGATCCTGGACACATTCTCAGAACAATTCCCAAAGCCTTGCACGAGGATTTCTCACGAGAACTCCAGCAGGTTTTCAATGGGATGGCCTAGGCCTGACAGCCTGAGCACTGCCTCTTAAAACCTGTATGTAGGCCGGGGATTTAGCTCAGTGGTTCCACCGCCTGCCTCGCAAGCTAAGGACCTGAGTTCGATCCCCGGTACCAAAAAAAACCCTGTATGTAGAAGTTCTCGCAGGTTTTCTCAAGATGTGGACACTATAAAGGACACACCAAGACTTGAAAAGCTTGCTATCAGGGCCAGGGATTTAGCTCAGTGCCACCGCACCTGCCTCACAAGCGCAAGGTCCTGAGTTCAATCCCCAGTACAAAAAAAAAAAAAGAAAACCTTGCCATCATAACTTTCCATGGTCCCCACACTGTGTTTCCCAGATGCAGTGCACACTTTTGTCTTTGTTCTCACTCTCTTTTTCTCTTTACTTGGCCTAAGCTTGCTCTGCAAAGCCTGTTTCTCTCCCACTATTCTTTTATACTTTCTCCAAAAAACTTTGCCACTGCTTTTTTTTGTACCAGGTATCAAACTTGGGACCTTTCCCTTGCAAGGCAGGTGGCAGAACCACTGAGCTAAAAAATGGAAACAAAATCTTTGTAAATAGGGAAGGGGGGGGCGGTGAAGGGAGGGCAGGGGAATGGGGAAAAAAATAAGAACCAAGATGCATCATGTAAAGGTACAAGATCCCAATGATGAATGTAACTGTATTTTATACCCAAAATGTACCAACAAACTTAATGGAAAAAAAAATTAAAAAGAACCACTGAGCTAAATCCCCGGCCCCTTTGCCACTGCTTTTTGCTTATTCCATTCAATTCTTTGTTGGGATGAGAAGAACCTGGAATCCAACTCCAGGAGAGGCAAGCAACCCCAAGCCCAGTAACATTTAGGTGGACAAGCCTCTATAGCACAGGATAACAGTGTGATACAGAATGATGAATGAGAAGGCCAAATTTAGATGTTATATGAAAACCCCTGATATTAAACTGTTAGCAACCAACTTTTTAAAAATTTAAATACTATCAAACCAGAAAAATCTTATTTCCTAGGCCAAACTGACCCATGGCCCACTAGATTACAATTTTATTCTAAGCCCTCACTATTCAAAGTCTAATCCAGGGGCCAGGAGTTTGTCAGAAATACAGAGTTGTCCCTACTGCCTCCACTCATCCAGATCTGCTGGATGAGAATCTATCTTACAGCGAGATCACTAGTCCCAAGTGACATCATTTACGTTTGATACAGAGGTCTTTGAAACTGACCTTTCTCTGAGCCCATTTTTGTTGGTACATTCCCACTGAAAGTTTGAGCTGGGATTCTTTTCTATGATTCCAATTCACTGTACTACAAAGCAAATCCTAAGTGCAACCCATCCTGAACTCATCTGTTGTCTCATCCCATCTTCCCTGCCACAAATTCTACTAGGATGACTACAGCCCCACTTCCCTACCACTTCCTGAAAAGTTAACTGCTCCCATTTTTTTTTTTTTTTTTTTTTTTCCCCTCTTAGTACAGAGGTCTTAAATTTCTAAGCCCAGGGCCAGGGATTTAGCTCAATGGCACTGTGCCTGCCTCGCAAGTGCAAGGTCCTGAGTTCAATCCCCAATACCAAAAAAAAAATTTCTATGTCCACAATGTCCACTGGTAACAGTGAGAAAACAAAAAGAGATCTCTGTCCCTCTGATGTGAGACTCTGGGGCCCCTTCTTGACAAAAACAAAAAGAACAAAAGCCAGGTCTACATTTTGGCTTGTATTTTCCACTAGAGGGCAGATTAAACTTTCAAAAGAAAATAACTCTAGCATTTTACAAAGTAGGGAGGAGTTCTTGCAATCAGTTTCCTATTGAGGCTCTAGGCCCCATGTGAGGCCCTGGGGATAGAAAGGGAACAAACCTAGCACTTACCTCAAGAAACCTGCACTCCAGTAGGGAGCAGCATATTAAACAAGAGAACAACCCATAGGTGGACCTTCAGAATTTAGAATAACTGCCCTTGTTACATTTGCTACCTTGGGTGTGCCATGTTGTTTCTCCTCTGTGATGGCTGTTTGCCACCATTGCCTTGGAGCCAGGCGATTTGAGCCAGCTGGTTATAGACTGAAACCTCTACAAACTGTGAGCTAAATAAACCCTTTCCCCTTTAACTTTGGGTGTCGGTATTTTGTCTTAGCAACAAGAGAAAAGTAACTAACACAGAAATTTGGTACCAGAGAAGTGGGGTCCTTGCTGTGACATTACCTGGCCATGTGACTTGAGAGCCTTTGCAACTGGCTTGTGGGAAGGGAAGAGTTAGAAAAGGAGATGCCGGATGAAGAAGTAGAGCTGGATCCCTATATGGAGATTCTGGCCAGAGTTCAGAAGACCAGAAAGCCAGTAAAGACCAAGCTCAGGAGGTTTCTGTGGGAAGAATGACTGCATTGGCTATTAAACTCCAGATGATGTGTATTATAGCGTGGCAGAAAGTTTGCCCACATTTTGTTCATGTCCAGAGCCTTTGCCTGAAACTGAGATAAAGGGCAGCAGACTAATTAATCTCACAGAAAAAATTTAAAGGCAGTCTAATGTTGAGGCAGTGGCATGCCTACTGTTGTCTGATATAGGGGGAAGAGATGCAACTTCCAAGCCTGATACATATCAAAGTTAGAGTTCATGTTCTCTAGAATCAAAGAATGAATTCTAGGAACAATGCAGGTTAAGAATAGAAAAAATTTATTGAAAGAAAGCTTCTGCCTAAGAGAGACAGGGGGGATCGAAAAGTGGGTTACCCCCTCACTCAACTTCTCAGGTCTTTTATAGAATAAAGCCACAAGGTGAGGCAGGTTCATGGTAGGACAAAACTATAGTCAACTAGTAAAACTGCAAGTACAGTTGCTTAGGTATTACTGATCCAATGAGAAATCACAAGTGGACAAAACTATGAACAACCAATAAGATTACAACAAGTATAGTCCCTTAGGTAATATTGATTAAATGGAGATTCAATGGGGAAGCAAGTCACATACCAAGCATATAAGGAATGAGCAAGATTTTTGTTTTGTAAGGGGTGAGTCAGGGATCTTTCTTGGAAGCTCTTAGTCCCCCACCCAGGTGATTCATACCTATTTAGAATATCAGTCACTGCTATTCATGCTATGTGAGTGTAGTAGTTCTTTCTTTACAATGCTGGCTTTCAGTCAATGTGTCTGGATTGTCTTCCATATTGGCTCCACTGTCCTCCATGTCGGCTCCTCCAGAGCCGGCCCTGTCTCTAACTACCTATAAGATATCTAATTAACTTACCTATCTACGATACTTTTACCCAGATTTATGTTGAGAGTCAAGAGCAGAAAGCCCAGCAAAATGATTTAAAATGTTTTGAGTTTGGCCAG